TCCCCGCTTCCAACAGCTTGAGAAGGCAGCAGAGGCAGCACGGGGATCAGATGTGCTCACCTGGCACCGAGCAAGGCTGCAGGAAACCCACGAGCTGCAAAGCTCTTCTACATCATTTGTGCCGAAGAGAGCCCACATCAAAGCCCACCGAACCTCCCCCCCCAGCACACAGCTCCGAGCTGCACAGATCAGTTTGCTGCAGCCCAATAAAGGAGATGGCAGGGACAGCTGTTGCAGCTCCCCTCAGGACAGCTGAAAATAAACTGCAGACTCAGACCCTGGGATTTATACCGGGCACCTTCACCTCGCTCAGTGCACGGGGTCAGCCAGATCGCTCACAGAGCAGAGCCTGCAATGTGTGCGTGGGGCTGCTGCTCCCCAGCACAGTGGGGTTTCTCTGCAGCTCGCTGTCCATCCCAGCCCCGTGCAGAAATACCACTTGGTAACAAGCAGAGCAGATGTCTCCAAGCATTTAACGCCCCCCTGCCCTGTGTTTATATGGCCACTCAACGCAGTATTCCCCTCTCCCAGCCACCTTAAAAATACGGCTCTAATACACACAGCCTGGCGTGCCTTTCTGACTTATGGCAATAATAATCCTCATTTGAGAGGCAGCACACCAGCCCCACGGCCTTATATTTTAATATTAGCCAGTTATTATCTCAATATATTACAACACATTGCAGTTAAGATGTCTCACGAGTCCCATAGCACCTAATCTGAATTCAAAGTCTCTGTACCTGTTGGTAACAGAAGCAGCTCCCAGCCCCTAATGCTCACCATTCAAATATGCGAGAGGTGACACAAATCACAATGCTAATACCAAGATGCTGCCCAGTTACAGCACAGTGCTGCACATAAACACCATCCTCAGCATTTCAGTGGGCTTCAGCCACGTTAACACCAAGTGTGAGACACGAGCCGGGGGCAGCAGCCCTTTCCAGGCCCTGCATTCACGAACCATTCCCGTGTTTTTGCTGAGGCAGCTCTCAACCTTATCAAACAGTGTTGATTCAGACAAGCATGCAGCATTAATGACGTGTCTCCATCTCTAATGCAGGCTCGAGAATCTCATTTGTCAAAGTCAGAAAGCTTCTGGTACCTATTGCATAGAACAAGCTTTCCCCCAGGTCCCTCTGCCTCCCACAGGAGCGGAGCTCTGCAGCCCAGCAGTGCTGTGGACACGAGGAGCTGCCCTGCAAGCACCAAAGGGCCAGGCACATCCCTTCTGCCTGCTGCCACATAGGAAACTGCAGCTGAACCCTCTGTCAGCTCGCTGCTCACTGCTTATGGAAGGATCAGAGCTCGACAGCCCGATCTCTAGATGGGCAAAGAGAGGCTGAGGAAGGAAGTGATGAAGATGCACGTTTCCCACCAGAAATACCCACCTACTTACTAAAGCACTGCTTCCTCCCAGCACCCCGCAGCTGAGCACTGCTGCTGACGGCTTTGGTTTGCAGAAGCCTTACAGAGAAACTGCCCGAAACAAAACAAAGGCTTTCCCTGAGTGCTGCAGGGAGCAGCAGCTCCGACTCATTTCGCTTCAAGGTTAGTTTGTTTAGTCTGGAGTTAATTGTGCCCACTGCGTAGCTTGTTTGGAAACAGAGACTCAAAGGACAGACAAGTGAATGAATCCATGGGGACAAAGCACGAAGCCATAAGAGGGACTGAGCCAAAAGCAAGAGAATAAATGCACAGGTTGGTGGAACTGCACTTCGGATTGGGACCAGGTTTGTCCAACACGTCTGTGCTGTATGTCAGCATCTGGGCTTTCCAACTTCAGGCAGAGGACATTCTGTTGTACCCCATTTATGAGGGAAGGCTGAAGTAAAGCACTGCAGTTACCCTATTGATAAACCCAACTCCTGACAGCATCAGATTTCAGATTGATGAGCAATATTAAGTACAGCACAGATTGCAACTTCTACTTTCATTAACAGAAGCGTATCTTTGGAAAGAAACTCTGCAGAGCGCAGTGGAAAAGGTCTGACTGTCCCCAGATAACCTCCTCTTCTCAGGATTAATGTATTTTTAGACAATGCAGCCACCCAGTTTTAAAAAACAGCCTGATGTACGGCACCACTGCCCTCAGTTAAAAGACCTGAAGCTGAATTACCTCAAAGAACAGCTGAGGTGCCCCAAACACACGTATGGAACACCAGGAGGGCTTTTCCAGCCTCGCTCATTCTGTGATGGAGAGTTTTCATGGCACTCAGTGCACGCAGTGCTGCAGCTCCTCTCTCCAAGGCACGAGCTGGCTTTTACCTTTTGGTGACCAGCTCCTCCCAGGACCTGCTGTGCAGGATCTGCCTGAGCAGCCACTGCCCTTCAGGCAGCAATGCTGCTCCATCCTGGTTATCCTGCAAACAAATCCACTCTGCTTCAGCCTCCCTGCAGCTCCTACACAGCAACGAGCAAACCTCTGCTCCACGCAGCGTCCTGGCTGGAAAGCCAGCAGCTCACAGCCCACCTATGGACTTGTTGGTCAGCAACCGAGTTGCCTTCCACTTCCCCAGGACTACACCCTATGTCTGAAAGCAAATAAAAGGCCAAATTTGCTTAACAGCAATCAACAATTGGCCGCCTGGCGTAGGCACAGCTTTGGTGAGCTCTGTAAAGCAACCAGAAATGCTCACAGTTTTACAGCCTGGACTCAGGAACAGCACTAAGTTAACCTGGGACTGCCAGCGAGGCTCCAGAATCAGTCGGCTGATGCAAAGCACCCAGCTTCTAACAGAGCAGCTGCTGAATGGCTGTGTGATGTCCAGCACTGCAAACCCCATCAGAAGAGCCAGACTACTTCAATGGGACTGCAAATGACAGACCTGGGAGCAGATTCATCAGCAATTCAGTTCTCCTTGGAAAACACAAGAGGAAAACAACCGGCACATCATCAAAGGGCAGACGAAGGATAAACAATCTTTTATGCTGTCATCCTCTCTGAAAGAGACCTTACAGACAGAAAAGCACTGCCTACAACGTTTGGAGATGACTTCCCATCTGTAGGATCGGCCTTCTGTTTAACAGAAGCAGATGCTGAGTCTGACAAATTAAGACAATTGACTTCATTAAGCCTTCCATTACCTCCACAGACATGCACTGGTACAGAGCAAGCCTCACTAAGTTCTTTAAACAAAGAAAAAAAAAAAGATTACCCACCCTTTCCTTCAGCAAAGCAAACTCCGTCTTGTACGCTGCACCTCTTTGCTCCCTGCATGGCTGCTTGGTTTTACCAACATCAAACCAAAGTCAATGCTCACCATCATCTGCTCCACACTGCATAATGCTCAGAGGAGATCCTAAGAAAACCCTCCTATGCAGTGCGTTCAGTTTGTCCACTAGTCGAATTATCTCAGCTAACGCTTTCCCATAATAGCAGAACTCCCCATAACGTGGGATCAAACGTATTTCAGACGTGATCAGAGATAACGAAGTGACAGCAAACATTTTCATCTGACACAAGCTTACAGCATTAAGATACGTGCAGAACCTGTAACCAAACACATCCTGTCCCTTTTGGGTGCACAAAACCTCTCTTCAGCCACACGTTGCTTCAGTACTGCCCGCAGCACACAGTGAGAAAACTTCAATGGGACAAGGGAACAAAGTTGGTATGAGATGGAAAAGAAAACCAACTTCCTTCCTGTAAGGCTTCAGAAAAGACAACTCCAGCAAAAGCCCATCTCTGGGGGTGAGCATCTGCTCAACATCTCACTCATCTGAAGGCTCCGCAGAGCACCAGGGCCCAGGTGCTGCCATCACCTGATGGCTGCTAAGACACAAATTCTTCCCACACACAGAACTGTATTTGTGGTCTGCCTGGTGATCACTGCTTGCCACGTACTCAAGAAATGTGACCTTGCAGCACTAATTACCCACTGATCAATGTCTGATGGATCCAACGCACTCCACGATGCTCCTGGCCGGGCGTCCCGTGCTGCACAGCAGGGATGTGCTGACATTTCTGAGCAGATCCACCACAGCTCTGGCAGCAAAACCCCCCCGAGGGCACCCAGCTCCACCACACAACCCACGTTAGCTTCAGTTCCAATCACCTCCCATTACTGGCTCTGACATCTGTTTGCTTAATGACACGACAACACACGTACCGAAGAGCAGACTGCGAGCTCCTGTGCCATTTGCTTATTTTTGGAGCTCAAGAAGAATATGAATACCTCTGCCCCAGCACAGTGACAGCCACGGGCAGGTGAGCTTGTGAATGGAGCATTTCAACGTCCCAGTGCTTCAGTTTGACGCCAACCAAGCAAAAAAGAAAGCAGCAACCGGGCTGGGTGGTCATTTGTGCTATTAGAGCATGGGTGCCTACAGTGATGTTATTACAGGTGTCGCTCCCAGGCTGTGCTCTCCCCATCCCACGGGACTCTGCAGGCTCAGCCCAGCACACCTCCAGCTCACCAACCCGGCAGGCTGACCCCGCCGTCAGACGCAGCGCCGTGGGATGAGATTTCAATGGGCTGCCCCCATCTGTGGAGGCGTTCGAGGCCGGGTGGGCGCAGCGCAGCCACAGCGGGGTTGGAAACGAACAGCAAAGCCGTTCTACGGCCTCAGTTTCACCGACCTCGCTACTGATCCCCCGGTTTCCCGGCACCGAGGGGCAGCTCTCGGTCCCGTTCGTCCCGTGCGAGCAAAACCCCGCGCGGGTTTCCCTGCAGACGAGGCTCCGCCGCTCCGCAGCCGCGGGGTCCGGAGCAAAATCCGCGCGTCCCAACGGAGCCGGGCGGCTCGGAGCGGCACCGCCTGCCCTCAGCGCAGCCCCGCGCGGGGCCGTTCGCGGCTCGCAGGGCAGCGCTGCGACACGACCGCGGTTCCCGCACGTCCCGGCTCGGCTCTCCATCCCGTTCCAACACCGCGCTGTTTACAAACAGCCCGGCCGCCCCGCGGGGCGCCGCACGTCCCGTCCGATCCCATCCCGTCCCGTCCGATCCCATCCCGTCCGATCCCGTCCCGTCCCGTCCGATCCCGTCCCGCCCCGCCCGCACCTGGTGCAGCGCCGTCAGCCCATCCACGTTGGTGGTGTCGATGCGGGCGCCGCGGCCCAGCAGCCGCTTCACCTCCTCGGTGTCCCCGCTGGAGCAGGCGGCCAGGAACACGGCGCCCTCCTCGAAGCGGACGCGGGATCCCCCGGCCCCTCGGTGCCGCCCTCGGCCGCCCCCCGCCGCCACCGGCTCCTGCTCGGTCAGGGAGCCCTTCCAGCGCCGCAGCTGCTCGGCCCGCCGCAGCCGCGCCGACTCGGCCCGCTTCCCGCCCAGGTGCTCCGGCTCCGACATCGCCGCCGCCGCACTGAGGCGCAGGGAGCGGCGCGGAGCCTCAGCCGGGAGCGGGGCGCGGCGCCCCCGCCGCCATCTTCGCTACGCTGCCGCCGCCGCCGCGCCCCGAGCGCCCGCGCCCCGCGGCATCCCGGGACTTGTAGTTCCCGCGGGGGGCGCCGCACCTGCCCCGCGCCGCCTCGCGGCTCCCGGCGGCCCCCGCGCGCGGCCGCACCTGGGCGCGCGCCGGACTACGACTCCCGGCATCCTCCGCGCGCCGCGCCCGTCCCCGCCCCCCGCCCGCCTTCCCGCCCGGCGGGGCCGGCCGCCATCACCGCGCCCTGCCGGCGGCGCCGCCTGCGGGGACCGCGGCTCCGAGAGCTGAGGGGAGGCTGGGGGTGAGGGCGAACGGCGGCTCCGCGCCTTCCCCATCCCCGCGCTGAGCGGGCGGCACCAGGCGCTGCGGTGCGCCCAGGGATGCAGTGCCCGGTTTTCCCCATCGTTAAACGCACGGACGGCAGCGCAGCGCCGTGCAGCGCAATGCAATGCAGCGCAATGCAGCGCAATGCAATGCAGCGCAATGCAATGCAGCGCAATGCAATGCAATGCAGCGCAATGCAGCGCAATGCAATGCAATGCAGCGCAGCGCCTCCAGCCCCGGCCGCGGTTCGGCTTTGGCGGCGCTCTGCCGTCCTCGGGCGCCCCCTGGTGGCGCAGCGCCGCACGGCGTTTTCCCGGTGCGTCCTTAAGGCCGGGAAGGGACGCTGAGGTCCCAGTCGCGGAGATGAGCTGAACCACGCTGGACCGGCCTGGAGCTGCGCTGCTGTGCACTGGTGGCGCAGCTCATGGACGTAATGCCCCCGGGAGCTGTGCAGAGCAGCCACGGGGCTGCGGGCTGCCCTGCGCTCCTCGGAGCAGCACAGCGCTCCTATGGAAACCGCCCAGAAAAAGCCATCGGATGTTGATGTGTTCAAGACTTTGGTTTTCCTTTCAGGAATTTTGGCCAAGTATATTTGCAGAGCTTTCTACATCAGTGCAGGACTCCTGGCTGTCTGAACGAGATTCAGGGTGCCAACAAGACCTGGAGGCGCAGCTCGTGAGAACTGGCTGTGATCCACACCAACGGTGCTCCCCAAACTTCTGGCATGTGTGCCGTTACTTCTGGGACGCTGCTTTGCTCCAGCACAGATTCTCACATCTCCCCACGCTGTGGGATCTGCTCCAACTGCCACTAAATCAGTGCAGCGCCTTCCTGGAAACGTCCGCTATGATGGGCACTGTGCAAACCTGCACAGTCACAGCTGGGTGTGCAGGTTGGACTCCTCTTCGTAACGGAATTTATCCTCAGCAGAAAGAACTCCTCTGCAACTGGGGGCTGCTGTCTGTGCCTGTGACACTTCGGCCATCCTTCCATCTTTCTGACACCCCGGGGTCCCTCACGCTCCTGACCACATTCCTGTCTGTTTTCCTATGATGTCCCTTCGAATTCAGCCCAGCTCTGGGCTTTGAGCAGGAAGTTTATGAACAAAAAGTTCTTATCCCAGCTCTGCTCCCAACATGGTCAATTTGAGCACACACCGTTCATCTCCCACATCCAGAACAAAATCCATACCGCGTGCCTCCAGCTGCTGCTATCTCTAAGTACTGTTTTCCTTCCCTTTAGTTTCTCCTTTGACTTGAATTTGAATTTCCTTTGACTGCTCCACGAGAAATAAGTGCTTTATTTCTGAAACAAACAAAGCTTTCTGGCACAGCCCGGATTTGTGCCTCTCGCCTTTCGCCGCAGCCTTCCCCGCCCCGCGCTGCGGAGCATCGCAGCGCCGACCCGACAGCAGATGGCGCGGGGACCCACGGCACCTGCCGGCTTCGCTTCCATCCTCGGCTGCTAAAGGACTCCCTCAGTGGAAGGGACCGGCCGGCCAAAGCCCTCCCCCTCAGCAAGGCAGAGAACCTAAGGATCGTTAAGGTTCGAAAAGACCTTCGAGATCCCCAAGCCCAACCCCAGCCCATCCCACCGCACTGCCCACATCCCTCAGTGCCACATCCGCTGCTCTGAACGCCCCCAGGGATGGTGACCCCTCTGCATTATCACTCCTCCAGCTCCGCAGCGAACAGCCCTGGAGCAAAGAGCAGATCTGAGATTTGCAGCAGCCCACATTTCAGGATGCTGGGCCCTTTTCTGAAGATGCCATTCGGCTTTTCATGCATCCGTTCCATTTTCGGAGGAAGGAAGCAGGGAGATGTGAGCCTCCAGAACCCAACAGCCCTGCTGCTCGCCTCCAGGAACTCAGCTGGAGAGGCTGAGTCTGTCCAGGTCTGCGCGGGGCCATGTGCAGCACCAGAGTGCTGAGCATTGCACACTTCCTATGAGTCATCTCATTTCCCTGCCCCACGGGGAAGGACGCACGTCCCCATGGCTGCATCAGAGCTGGGGTAAGGCTTCAGCCCTTAGCAGGAACTCAAAGAGCCTGGTGGGAGATGCATGGCCATCAGGACCACCTGCCTGTGGTGCCATGGAGGTGCTCATGTCATGGTGCAGCTGGGGATGCCCCACTCAGTGATGTGGTTCCCTGTGTGAGGCGGGGAAACCCATCACTCTGCAGCCACCACAGGAGGCTGCAGTGAGAAGGGATCAGCCTTTTTTTTCTCAAGGGACAAGTGATGTGTAGGTTGCTCTATAAGTAGTGCCTCCTATTTATTTCCAGGGAAACTACAATAGATACAAAGAACATAAGAACACTATTTGATAGAGCAAATTCTCAGCTCCTCAAATTCAAAGCTCCACAATCTTTCCTGAGCTGAGGGCCTCAGATCTGGACTCGGCTCTGCAGGTGGGGCCTTACAAGGGCAGAGCACAAGGACAATCCCCTCCCTGCTCACTGCCACCCTTTTGATGCAGCTCAGGATGCAGTTGGCTGCAAGATCACATTGCTGGCTCACCTGCAGCCTTTTGTCCATCAGGACCCCCCAAGTCCTTCTCTGCAGGGCTGCTCTCAAGGAGTTCTCCCGGTCTGCACACACATCTGGGACTGCCCTGGCCCAGCTGTAACACCCTGCACTGTCCTGCTGAACCCCATAAGGTTCACACGGACCCCATTTCGAGTGCATTCAGGCCCCTTTGGATGGGAGGTTTAAATTGAATGTTAGGGAGCATTTATTTGCAGAGAGGATGTCCGAGCGTTGGCACGGGCTGACTGAGGGAGGGGGTGGAGCTCCCAGTGTCGGAGCTGTGCGGATGTGGCACTGAGGGATGCGGTGCAGCGGTGGGTGCTGGGTGATGGTTGGGCAGCGCGGGGTGCTGCGTGTGGGAGCAGAGGGGACAGCGGGTGGCAGCGAGGTGGCAGAGAGCGCCGGGGGTGACGCTGGGAGCGCTGGGGGTGGCATCGTGCCGTGATGGGCGCCGCGAGGCTGACGGCCGCCGTGCCTTCCTCTTCCTCCTCCTCCTCCTCCGCCCGGGGCAGTGACATCAGGCCGTGCTGGCGCTGAGCGCGAAGCGCCGCCTCCCCTCGCCGCCAACAAAAGTCCCCGAGCGCCCTGCGGGCCCCAACGCCGCACCCGCCGTCTCCCGACCCGCCCGGCCCGGCCCGGCCCACAGCCGCAGGTACGAACCGGGGCCTCCGGACCCCAGCATCCCACCCCGCCCGCGGATGGGGAGCTCCGCGCACGGCTGCTGCCCCGCGGGTGGGCGAGGGTCGGTGCTGCCCGGTGGGCGGAGGGGCACTGCGGGCACCGGGGGGCGTGGGGGGAAAGCAGAGGAGGAGGGCGAAGTTTGGCCCCGGGGACAGAATCGCAGAACTTCCCCATCCGGGCCGGGTGCCGGCGGTGATGCTCAGCGGGAAGTCCCAACGGCCGCGCCGCGCTCCCCCTCCCCGTGCCCTGCCGTCGTTTTGCCTTCCAGCGCGGATAACTTTTGGGAGCCGGCAGGACCGTGAGAGCGGCTCCCATCATTGAGCAGCGGGCGCAGCTCCGGGTCCCAAACCCCGCAGGTGGCAGCGGGGCCGCGCGTGGGAGCGGGCGTTGGTCAGCGCTGGGCACCGCGCGCGGGTGCTGCCAGGAGGCAGCGATCGCTGGGGAAGCTCCGGAGCAGCCGCTGGAATTCCTTTCGAGGACGCAGCGCGGTGCTGGGATGCAGGGGGGGCTGTGCGGGGCCGGGAGGTGCAGCAGCTGCCAGCCGTGGGGTTGGCTGTGGCGTTGGCTCCTGGGTTGTTGCTGCTCCTCGTTGCTGTGATTGCGGCTCAGTGCGTGCTTGGCACCGCCAAAGCGCATCGCCAAAGCAGGGGCAGCGCGGTCCCCTCCCCGCCGTGATTCCATCCCTCTTCTACTTGCATCTCCATCTCCATCAGGCACAAAGCCTTGCCAAAGCTGCAGGGAGCTGTGCCGGGTAGGGGGTTTGATCCCCACGGAAGCCAGGAGTTTTTCTTAGCTTCCACAAAAGTGCTTTGCGGAGTTCTGGATAAAATCGAGCTATTCTTTGAGAAATGAGCTGAATGCCCAGCTGTGATAGGGAGCTTTCCAGTTTGTAAGCTCAGCCTGGGAGCCATGTGGTCGTCAGGCAGCAGCAGGCAGCTCTGCAGCCATTCGCAATCCCCGCTCATGGCAGCGGGGTGGCACAGCACTGCCCATCCCTGCCACAGATCTCAGATGGGCAGCAGTGGTACCCCAATGTCCCACTGCAGGACCTGGGGGCACAGTGTGTGTGTAAAGGTTGCTCCTTACCTCGGATCCCCCCGATTTCCTCCTCTTCAGGCAAAGCCCCTGGAGATGTCATCCAGCACAGCTGCTGCTCTGTTCCTTGGTGTCTGCACTGATGCTCAGTGTTTTGTTGCATCCCAGCACTCACTGCCCTCAGGACTCCATTCTCTCACTTAGCAGTTCAGCATCACTGTATCATCCTTTATCCCCACTTACACCACTGGCATCCCAGAGTCTCCTTATGTCACCGCTGTGACATGGGGGTACAGGAGCACAGCCCCCCTCTTGTAGGGCTGTTCCCATGCACGGTGCTGTGGCAGCTGCTCCATACACGATGCCATTTGTTTGGGGCTGAGTCCCCATGGCCTGAGTGCAGTTCCCAGTGCTCCATCCTGCTCATTTCCCACCCATCTCC